CCCCAAAACCCCAAAACCCCAAAACCCCATCCAACTATAATATATAGGTTTTTATCAAATGAAAAAATAGAATTAATATTAGTTGAAAACTTTGTTTGAATTTCTTATCCCTTTAGAAATCGAATTTCAATGACTCTTGCCTTTTCCAGCTAGCTGTCTTAATCTTCTATCCTATCTTTGCTGGACCTCCATTCTAACTTTCCAATTATGAGCGATTGGAATGTTTTCATACTTTAGCCAAATCAGATCCTCTCTAAATCTCCAATCTGAGGGAGCTATGAATTAGTCTTAATTCAGCATCGGAATCTAACGGTAAGGAATGTCCTCATTAATATCCCAATATTTCTAATCATCTATCACTATATCTTTTAGCCAACTTCCTGTTACAACACCAAGTTTTTCATCAATTTCATTATCTAGCTTGGTCTAATCTTTGATATCTGAAGCTCCTTTTTTATAGTATAAATTATAGGTCTATTGTGGGTCTATAGGTGTCTTAGTTTTATAAATTATTCCATTAAATTCATCTTTCTTTCCTGTCTCAGTAACAGTCCAGAATCCACTCTTTTTGTAGGTATTGAAGAATAGAACACATTTAAAATTGTTAGTCAAATCTTCAAATACCATATTACCTATTCCTTCGATTGTTCTATCACCCATTACGGTTCCGCCTAATTTGTAATCTAATAAGGTGTATCTAATATGCTGACCATCTTCAAATTTAATGTTATTAGGACCTTTCTATCCTGCTCTTAAACTGTTTCCACTCATATTCCCAACAAATTCATAGAAACCCCAAAATTGATATGATTTCTTATCTGCAGGCTCTATCATAAAGTTTGAAATTGGAGGATGATGAGACGTATGCTCGCAATAAATCTCTGTGCCATCAGAAAATTTAGCTTGAAGGGTTTCTCCTAGTATTGGATTGAAAGGTTTGTTTTATGAACAGCATAAATACATGGAAGCAACAGCATTTACTATTACTAATTTGAATCTCTCAAGTTGATCGGTTGTTTAAGCAGCTTTGGTTAGGTAGAGAGGGGAATATGAGTACAAGTCAACTATTCTTTAGAGAGTGGATCTTGGCTCAAATATTTTTACAGGCAATGAAATATGCGTAATAGTAAGACCTTTGAGTAAATTAATAGTCAATTACTTTAGAACATCAATGAAAACACCCTTCTACTTTTCCATTGCTTCTTAGTCAACACAAATAAGTCCTCCTTATGGAGTCTCCTCCATTCCTTTAAGAACTTCCTCTTTTCTAGTTGGTAGTTGCTTTAGTAATATCTCATCAGTAAAATATTTGGGAGGAGGACATAATTTATCAAACTTCTGTCTATTGTCGACGAATGAGTAGATTTAAACAGATTACTCTTTTGAATAGATGAAAGGGTTGTCTTCGAGATCTTTTGAATCTATTTCCTATTGAACTTAAATTATCAGAGCTTCTGTAGGTTATTAGGATTAATCTGTTGAGTTGAGATCAACATTGCTTAAGTCTTGTGCGATTTCGCTAGTGCCTTATAATTTCTCCATAAAATTTAATTTTAATGCTTAATTATAGTAAAATACTTAATAAAAACTATAAAGTAAATTGTTTTAATACAAGTAGCTATTATTCACGTTTTAATAAGAATTCAATAACTCATACTTCAAAGTTCTTGTGAACGTATTGGTAGACGAATCCGAAATCTTTCTTCCCGAAGCCTTTCTTCTCTAAGTCTCTGTAATAGTTTATAGCATGCTCAGCAAACTTAGTCTCAGTATCTGATAGTTTAGCAGCTTCAAGAGCTATACTAAGATCTTTTCTGATAAGACTAACTTAGAATCCACCATTATAATTTCTGCTAGATGGAACATTTTCGAGAACTCCTGGTCTTGGATTGTAAGTATCCACACACCATGATCTGCCAGTACTAACTGAAAGAATGTTAGATAAAACCTTAGCATCAATTCCAAGCTTTTCTCCTAATGAAAGTCCTTCTGCAAGAGCTATCATATTTATTCCTAAGACTAAGTTATTGCAAATCTTAGCAATCTCTCCTGTTCCTGGACCTCCGCAATGGAATACATTCTTTCCCATGCCGAGTAGAACATGCTTGGCAGCTTCAAAATTATCCTTATCGCAACCAACCATGAAAGTCAAGGTACCATTTTAAGCTCCGGTAATTCCACCTGACATTGGAGTATCAATAAATATTAATTCCTTCTTCTTAGCATCAGCTGCGAACTCTTTTGAAGCGATTGGAGAGATAGTACTTGTATCAAGGATCATAGTACCTTTACTAGCATTCTTAAAGATTCCATCAGGTCCTTTTAAAAGTTCTTCAACATCCTTTGTAGCTGGAACACTTGTAATAATGTAATCAACCTAATCACTTAAATAATTCAAAATTTACATCTTGAGAAGTCTCTGCAACGCTTTTTACAGGTTTTACTCCCTATTCCAATATTATTAACACTATGAAGTTTTAACTTACAAGTTCATTGCATTTTTCAAGAGTTTAAGGATTTAGATCGAATGCTTTCACCTAGAATCCTCTTTGCACGAGGTTTGCAGTCATTGGAAGTCCCATATTGCCAAGACCGATGAATCCAACACGCTAAATAGTCAATTAATTTCTATTCAAGAAAAGAATGTATAATTACTTTGCCGTATTCGACTATATTGAAGTTTTAATAAGAATGAGTCAAATTAGAAGTCTAAAATACCTGAAAATCTTCTGAATGCTAAATGTTTGAGTATCATTTCTTAGATATTAAAGATATATTATTAATGGATTGAGATTAATTAATAGCTTAAAATCAACTGAATAGATAACTTTAAGATTTAAGTATTAGAAATTAAATTTTTAAAATAAGAAACAAACAACTTTAAAATGGAAATTCCAGCTCTTGATGAGGAAGAAATGCAAATGATATACAACTGGGTAGATGAAATCCCACTCTCAAGGCCTAAAAGAAATATTGCTAGAGATTTCTCAGATGGAGGTAAAAGTTTTACTCTAATTAGACTTGCAAATTCATATATGAATTAATGCTCATTGATTATTGATTTCTTCTTATTAGTGTTGGTGGCTGAAGTAGTGAAGCACTTTATTCCCCATCTCGTAGAAATTCATAATTATAGTGCTGCTCATTCCGTATCTCAAAAAACATATAACTGGAACACTCTGAATCAAAAAGTTTTCAAGAAGTTAGGCTTTACATTGTCAAAGAAAGACGTAGAAGACTCAGTTAATTGTGTGCCTGATACAGTTGAAAGAATACTAAAAGTATTGCAAGCATCTGTAATTATATCAGTTATTTAATGGTGATGTTTTAGATTAAAACGTATCAGGAAAAGAAATAGAATAAAATGGGAAGTGGAGGTAATGCAATACAAGATAATGATTTAGGATTTAACTCTCATAATCCTTTAGGCGCTCAAGGTTATAGTGGTGCAATGGGAGGTTTAAATAATCCAATAATCAATAAAGAAAACAATAAATTTATGAGTGGAGGTTTCAATCAATAGAACAACTTTTCATATCCACAGCAAAACTACCCAATGTCAGCTGGAGGAGTTGGAATGGGAGGATTTGGTGGTGTAGATCCTAGGTAAAAGGCCATGCTCTAAAGTCAAGTTGATAATGAAATCCTTATGGAAAAAGAGTCAACAATTCAATAAATGAAAGAGACAATTGAGATCTTAGAACTCAAAATTAAGAAATTAGAGCAGTTAGTCAAGCTGAAAGATGCTAAAATTTCTAATCTGTCTAATAAGCTTCAAACTGCAGGCATTATTCCATGAAAATCAACATTATTATAGATTTAAAGCTTTGAATTGCAATTATCATGATTATAAATACTATAGTTTTAATTAGCTTTGTTGTGCACTGCTCTAAAATATTATTTTTCAGTCTATGGGGTTTTGGGGTTTTGGGGTTTTGGGGTTTTGGGG